CCCGCCATCGGGCTGGAGGCGTGCGGGGACCGCGCGGGCACAGGCGCCAGGCGGGTCACCGGGCACTTTGAGGTTCTGCTTTGTCCTCGGCTTTCTTTTTTTTTCTTTTTGCCCTTATATTGTCTTAGCCGTGGCCTTGCTGTGTAGCACTGCGGGGATGGCCTGGTGCCCATTCAGGATGACGCGCTGGGGAGGCCAGGATTTCTGTATAGTCTCGATGTGCTTTAAATAGTGCAAAGAATGAGCTGAGTTTGGAATATCTTGGTGTACTTTGACACATTGAGCCACTTTTTTTGAAACATTTGTGGCAGGATTTAGAGGTAGGAAGTGCCAGGATTTACTGTCAAGGACAAAAAGTAACCCTGAAGGACTTAATGATCACCAATACTACTTGATTTTAAGAGTTCTCGTAAGTGTTGTGCTCCACTTCTTAATGTTAACTGATTTGGAGTAGGTTATATAATGTGAAGGAGTACCTAAAGGTGGTACAACTAATTGCTTCAGGCTAGTAATTTTAGTTTTCAAACATTTTTATTTCATCTCTTAATTGACGTCTTGCTCAAGAAAATTTGCCCTTTTGAGAAAACAAGTAATTTATATTTCGTGAGGTGATACGGAATTCTTTGTTGCAGTCTGATATTTTGCTAATAACAACCTTGTGCTTTTAATAGGTCATCTGTGGAGTCAAAATGGTTGAAGCAGACCGTCCTGGGAAACTGTTCATTGGGGGCCTGAACACAGAGACTAATGAAAAAGCCCTTGAGGCTGTATTTGGCAAATATGGACGCATTGTGGAAGGTAAAAAGAAGAGCCTTTCTCTTCTAAGATACTAATAAAGTACCATAGCTGTGATGACTTTTTTGGCGTTGATCATCTGAAATGATGGTGCTCTTATGTCCTCTAAGAAGTCCTGAGCTAAAAGGTTAAATAAAGATTAAGTGTTGCTGCTTAATTACAAGAAAGGGTAACATGGCGTTATTTTTGCAGTCCTTTTGATGAAAGATCGTGAAACAAACAAGTCCAGAGGATTTGCGTTTGTCACATTTGAGAGCCCAGCAGATGCAAAAGATGCTGCCAGAGATATGAATGGAAAGGTAGGAATTAAGACCAATTGTATGTTGCTCTTGCTACTGACCAGCAGTATTGATCCTTGCGGTAAATTAACCAGTAATAACAGATGGGAAGACAACGAGTTAAAGATCCTGGAGACAGATCATACCTTTTAATTGGGCAAAATGTCTCTGTCTCCAGGAAGCTTGAGTCACTTTCTCCTGGTTATGATTTGACATTAGAAAGTGAAGTCTGGCTGTCAGGGAGTTACACTCTCTTTCTTTTTCTTTAATGATGATGGAGGGGTTTTTAGTAGTCAGCTCTTCATTCTTGCATGTCTCCTATAATGTTTTCATTTTACTGTGTTTGAATGTAGTACTGTGTAAATTACACTTTAGGGAAGCGAATTACCTGAAAACTATTAATGATGCCATTAACATGAGATTAATGTGACTTCCCTGTTGTGCTGGAGTGTTGATGCACTTACCTGGTAATCTGTAGATAACCTGCTACATCTGTGAGTTGCATCATTGATCTTCTTGGCAGGTATGAGGAGCATCTTGCCACTTCTTAATGTGAAGTAGCTTTGCAGTTACCTAGGAATTGAGTTTGCTTGTTTACACCCTGCAATGTGATGATAATGGCTTTAAGAGGAAATAAAAAATTTAATGTGTATAGAATGTCTTTAAAAATTAAAAAACCCTAGGAATGCAGAGCAAAATTCTGAGTTCTACCGGGGTAGTTTGTCAAAGGGTTGTAGGCTGTTGTGATCTGTGTCTGTTGTGGTCTGTGTTTGAAAAGCTGGGTGCAAGTTCGCAATGTAATGGTCAGCAGGTGCTTCCCTTCCCAGAGGTGCTGTCTCTTTAGGCAGTGAAAGCCATTTTGGTTAACTTCAGTGTCATGCTCTGGTCTTTCATGCTGAATCTGAATGTTTGTGCTAAGGTTAAGATGCTGCACTGGCCTTTTCCGAAGCAGTGTCTCAGATGCCGTTCACGTAAGGTGAAGAAGCCTGTGCCGATTGCGATTATCACTTGGGGATTTGATAGCTGTTTGTCTTGTTAGTGTAAGACTGAAGTGAAAGAGAAATGTCAGTCCTTGCAATCAGTAAGTAAAGCATAATGAATTCTTGCGCTTTGGGAAACAAGACGACGAGCTTGTTGTAGAGGTTACAGTGAATGCCAGTAGTAAAACTTCTGATTTTGTTTTATAGTAGGCTTTCTGCTGTGTGTACTTAGTTTCTGGATGTTTCAGGGCAACCTCATGACAATTAGTATTTCTTTAGAGACTTGCTTCCTTTTTGAATGAGTTTTTTCATCAAGGCAGAGAGTGGTAAATCAGATAATGTCCTTTCTGTACCAGCCTATACATCCTTAAAGGTGCTCCTTTCATTGAATTTATTTCTCCATTGTGTAGTTTGCTACAGTTCTGAAGATCTGTTTACTGGAGTTCTTAAACACTGATTTCCTCTGAAGTAGTCATTACAGTGAACCCTCACAATAAGGTAACCAACAACTAATTGTCAGACTGAAAGGAGTTCGGTCTCTAATCCTAAGTGTTTGTGGAGTGCAGCTTTCAAATGAAAATCTCCCTGAGAATAATCACCGGCTGTTCTAAATCTTGAATCTTGTGGCATGTGTTTGGTCACGCTGGAGACATTTCAGGAACAAAATGCTTAATAAAGTAGCTGAGCTTGAACGTTTGCAGCTGAGGTCATGTCTACATGTTCTGGAATGCACCATCTGCGTCGCTGTCAAGAAATGCTAGAAAGTACTGCCTTGTTGATCATCATTCTCACGGCTTCTCACTTCCGACGCTACAACTCTAGAAGTACCCCCATCTTTAAAATGTGGACGTCAAATAGTGCGTGCAAAGAGCATCCTCCCTTGGCATTTGGTGTAGAAGGACCTATTTAACATAAACGTTTAGGCACTGCTATCTATAGTTCTGGTTCTGTACTAGTCTAGCTTCTTTGCCTATGGGTATGAAAGGTGTGGAAGATGTTCACAAGTGGTCTCTCGTCCTCATCTTCAGAAAGCCTACCAGACGATAAGTACTGCTCGTACCTCACAAAGACTCTGCCTTCTAGATTTGAGAAAGCGACATTTGAGGCTGCTGTGAAAAGAGATCACTAGTAAACGAAGATTTGGGAGTTTTTCTGTTCATTTGGAGATGATGAATTGAAGCACTTACAAGAATTTCAAACAATTCAGCAGCAGCAGCAGAAGTGCTGTGCAGAGGGTAGTTCAAGCAGTCTGTAAGGAGTTAGTTGACCTGTTTAGCCAGGAAGAAAGAGTTCTGCATTGCCGTGCGTTGCTCATTTTGTCATTCCAAAGGAATTCAAAGTTGCAGCCAGTAGAAGAGGCTGACTTAGATTCTGCAAGAGTGAATTTGCATTTGATTTTTTTGCTTTGCAGATGTTGGCAAAGAACATATATCCAGTGTTTTGCTCCTTCCTGGGTTGGGGAGAAGGGAGGTTAACTTACTAATTCTAAAATGGGACAAGCATAGACTAGTCAAGCTTGCTTGTTGAAGATTAATTTCAGTCCTGCAAAAAGAGGTCAGCAGATAATGATTTTGGAGTGGGGGTGGAGATTTTTCACTTAAATTACTTTCTCTGCAGAATTGAATGCGTGTTAGCATGTCTGAGCAGCACAGAAGAAATGCTTGAAGTACTTTATCATAGCAAGTTGCCACCTTTCTTAAAGAACCTTAATTCATGACAGTCAAGTCAACATGCTGGTGTTACTACAGGCACAATGCTTATTTGGACACAAGTGTGAATACTCCAAGTCTGTAATGGTCATTGTCTGCAGGATGCTGTTGTTATGATCTTCTGATTTTAAGTCCTGAGGGCAAAATGAATTACTAAAGAGAGGATATAACCTTGGAGGAAACATCTAGGACAACCCAAAGATGTAATTCCCATGTGGACTTGCCAAGCCAGCTAGACTGTGTTAAGAAGTTGGAAGAAAATCCTGCAATTCAAACAACAGTCTAAACTGTTACCACAGAAGGTTGTCTTACTTTAATGAATAGAAAGTGTTTCCAGTTCTTTTGGTGAAGAAGTGATACAATATTCAGACCCTCAGCCTGATGAGAAATTATCTTCAATTCTTGAGTAAGTTTGGTGAAAGGAAGCTCGCGTGATGTGCCATTGAAGAACATGCAGAAATGTTCTGCATTCAGGAGCCACTGCAGCATCAACAGTACAGCAACCCATTGGAGAGGAACGCCCAATGTGGTGTTAAGTTGCTGTTTCATGCAATTACTGTAACGGTTTCTTCAAAATAACTTCATTTCTGCCCCACTACCAAAACTTCACAAATTTCATTCATATTTTCTGTTGGAATGTGGAATATTGTGCAAGACAGTTCTCTAATTCTATTTGGTTAAGGTTCTCTGGCTTGCCTTACAAAGCTATATAGATTGTTCACTCCACATATAGGAGTTTTGTGATTGCCAATCTATTATTATCCTTAAATGACTCGTATCTTAAATGACTTGCCTGCTTTATAGCACCAAGATGACTACTTTATGGTGCCCATATAGTAAAAATGCTACTGTAACACTCTGAATCAAGGCTGTAAATGCCAATGAATGAGTGTTCACATTGACAGCTGGTGCTTTGGGCTCTTTAGAAAATGAAAAAAATCCTCCTTCTGAGATGACTTGTGTGAGTTTTATGTGTTCAGTGAGATGATACCTTTCTTTTAGCTAAAAACCTATAAAATGAATTTGTCCCCTCTGCTTTAAATTCATACGCACAATAAATGACAAGTATGAGTTTTATGTGTCCAGCGAGATGAATGAAACCTTTCGTCTTGGAGCTGAGAGCCTATAAAATGAGGTCGCCCACTCTGGTCTTTATTCATTTACAGAATAAATGACAAGTATTTTCTGGTTAACAAAAAAGAACAATAATCTTCTTGGACCTGAGAAAAGGTCATTTTAGACCTTAGGCATAGCTTTTTAAGACCGCTTGCCCAGAGCGGCTTCAAAAGAAGCCTGTCTTTTGCCTAGGTCTCGTGCATGAGTGCAAGGCAGACGGAAATAGGAGGAGAAATTATAAGGCAAACTGTAGCTCCTACAGAAAAAAGGAAAAAACCTGGACCTGGCATCCAGGTTTTCAGAATTCATGCTAGCAGAAGGGGATGGTGATTTGTTTCTAAATTTCAAAGGAGCTGTCGAGAGTCTGCTGTGAAATTGAGGACGGCAGTGGTCATGATGGCAAAGCTTAAGACTTCAAGTCCACTGTTCATGTTATGAGGATGACTGAGAGATGAATGATGATAGCAAAATAATATGATACAAACTGAGAAGTTCCAGTGATTAAAAGTATTCATGCTCACTACTGGAATGTTTCAGCTTGTCATGCCAACAGGCTTTCTTAGAAAACTTTCATAAGTTAAAACATTTTTATTAAGTCAAAGCCAAAATCAGCATGGCTTTTCTAGAAATCTTTACTATTTTTTTCTTCCCAATGGAACAAATTGAACCTGTGGATATACGCTAACAGTAGCTACAGCTACATAATGGTGGCAGAATGCATGAGCTGCTAATGTGTATGATTTAAGAGGGCTAGATTTCAGGAGAGAACTGAAAGATGCAGTACATCAGTACAATAACAACGCCGACTCAGAGCAGGACGTTACTAGCAGTCATATTCTTGTTCATTTATTGCAGCAAAAAGTGCAATAAACAACACTGCCTGCCTGTCATAGCAGAGTTAAATATTTAACTGCTAGAAAAGGCAAATGAAACATGTTTGCCAGGAGAGATGTGCAGTGACCTAACATCAGCAGAGCTTGTGATCTTGGCTCTAATGTCAGGCACCATACATTTGGTAATTAAAGATTATATGGAAATTTTATTAATTAGATTGGGTTACTCAGTATGTCTTGCCACCTGCGCATATGAGGTATAATAGTTGGCTGCAGAGTTCCTGTTACTGCAGGTCTGAATTCGAGAAAAAGCTTCCACTTTTTTTTCCACGAAAAAACCCAAACCACCCTACACAGCAAACCCCACAAACAAACACAAAGACCAACCAAACCACAAAGCACGTCCACTCTGGAAAAGCAAGTAAATAGAGTAAATTGTGACAGTCATCTTTTCTACCATTTCAAGCTTGGTTTTCAAAAAAGAGGGGTGAAATATACTCAGTCTGCTTTGTAGATGCTGAAATTACTTCTAAATGCTTCGGTGATCACCGTTTTATCAGGACATCAAGAGAATGTACTAAACGGCCTCCCCATTGCCAGAAATCCCAACTCAAGCTAAGATACCTTCAGCTTAATCCTGTGTCACTACTGGTGCAGTCCTAGTTTGGTACAAAAGTCCATGGCAATTGAAAGTAAATTGGAGATCATAAATCGTGTTTCGTTTCCAAAATAAATGACATGGGGCTGCCGTAATCATTGGACACTTGTGTTTTCAGTGAAAGTCCTTTCTGATGCTGCTCTGTATTTATTTATTTTTCATCAATACCACAAGAATGAAGTACTATAGAAATTAGGCCCAACATGCTGCTGAGTACATGGGGACTAATACTGAAGACTGAAATCAGTTCTAGAGTTGCTCTAACTTTATAAAATGGAAGCCCTGTAATAGTGAAGCAAGAGGGGCTTAATTTAAGAAATACAAACATGACTGAGCAGTAAGTAAAGCAGCTTCTTCTTTAGTCATTAGATGGGAAAGCAATTAAAGTGGAACAAGCAACCAAGCCATCCTTTGAAAGTGGTGGTAGGCGTGGGCCGCCACCCCCTCCACGAAGCAGAGGTCCTCCCAGGGGCCTTAGAGGTGGAAGAGGCGGAAGTGGCGCAAGAGGACCACCTTCAAGAGGGAGTCACTTGGGTATGTATTGACCTCTCATTATATACTTGGACAACATACAAGACAATCCGATTGGAAGATGACAATAATCCTACTGGAAAAAAAAAGTCAAACAGCTGAATAATGCACTCCTTGTTCTTTATTAAAATGATGAAATATGATCTTGGCAGTTTAGTCAAATTTTTGATTAGGCAAGTACACCTTGAGACAAGGCTTTCAAATATGAAGATGCCCTTCTACAACTAACACTCCACTTGACTTTTGGCTGAAAAAGAAAAGCAGAACTCCTGCCCTGCACGTGAGAAAGGAAGCTTTCTGGTATTGAAGTTGAAAAAGTGATTCTCTTCCACCAGGGAAAGGGAACTGCCTTTCATTCTTACTAGCAAGAGGTCTAAACATACTAAATTCTAGGACTGATCCTTCCAGATCCTAAGTGGGAGTTAGGAAAGCTCAGCCTTGTTTGTTGTTCTGAAATAGCAATGTGTTGAGTCGAGGCTTTTTGAAGGAGAAGGATAGTACATTAGTTGATACTGGATGTTCTTTAACCTAAGATACGGTTACTTATTTGGAGACTTTTCAGTATCAAAACAAAACTGTCACTTGAAAAGCAAGCAGCACCTGTGGTATAACAGTAAAAGTTATAATGCAGAAAAAACCCACCTTGGAAATAATGAAATCTCCTGTCTTCAAGAGTCTGTGTAGTAGGCTCCCCAGACTCTGTAGTCCCTCTGCTCACTCTCTGTGTAGGATCTTCTCTAGTACGTCTTCCCAGGTGGCTCTTGTCTTCTGAGAACAGTGACTTGTTGAGAATTTAAGCTATGACTGAGTACAGATACTAGCTGTCTTTCTTCTTGTGTCACACCCAGTGGCTTTTGGATAAGTTCTAAAAGACAGTTCTTGACAGCAATTTACGCTCTGGAAAGTTAACTTGGTGGGCTCTCAATTCTGCCAGTAGCTTCAAGTAGTGGCCAAAACACAAGAGAACGCTTTGCGGTCTAATTGTAGAGGCTTCCTGTTGATCACATAGGGGTAATGCCTAGGTTATTGTAGTTCAGAGTTCAGGGGCATACAGGTGAGTATCCCAGAAATAACAAGGTGATTCATGGCTTATCCTTCCAGGATCTTCTCGAGGGCCACTTCCCATGAAGAGAGGGCCACCTCCACGAAGTGGAGGTCCACCACCTAAAAGATCGGCACCTTCAGGACCAGTGCGTAGCAGTAGTATGGGAGGAAGAGGTAAGGACTTCCTGGATTAAGTTGTTGCTTAGTCAACTGTAGCAGCTTTTGTCTTTCTTCAGGAACTGTTGTGAATTGTAGAATTTTGCTTAAATCTGCTGTGGGAGAGTGTGTTGTTTTTCTAACTGGTTCACACCGATACATTTTTGTAGCTGTTTGGTGTGGTTTGAGTATCTGCCTTCTTGTGCTGCTTTAAAACTGCACCATCAGAAATGTAAAGTATTATAAATGTAGGCTACAGAGATACTTTTTCTACAGCTATAAACAGTCTGCTAATGCTTCCTTGCCTTGAGGAGTGTGGCTAAACAGTAATTAAGTTAAAATGTTGAACTCCTTCTCTTAAGCTCCTGTGTCACGTGGAAGAGACAGTTATGGTGGTCCTCCACGCCGAGAACCAATGCCGTCGCGAAGAGATGTCTACATGTCTCCAAGAGATGATGGCTACAGCACTAAAGATGGGTAAATTATTTTACTAATTTAGTTTGACTACTTCTGTTCAGAGAAAAATTTTGTTCCATGGTCTTTAGAGCTGTGGCACATGACCTAACATCTCAATGCTTGTTCTTTGTAGTTACTCAAGCAGAGATTATCCCAGTTCCAGGGATACACGGGACTATGCGCCTCCTCCACGGGACTACGCGTATCGCGATTATGGTCATTCCAGTTCACGTGACGAGTACCCCTCCAGGGGCTATAGGTACCTACTGTTGGATTTTTCTCCCTGTCATTTTATTCTTGCTATGATCTCACTGACTTGTACTAAATCTTAGCAGTCTTTCCTCCTATAGCGATCGTGATGGATACGGTGGTGGGCGTGACAGAGACTACTCGGATCATCCAAGTGGCGGCTCCTACAGAGATTCATATGAGAGTTATGGTAAGAATCCATTTTGAAGATCACGTAGTAGTCTGTACAGGTGTTGCAAAATCTGACTTTTACTGGGTTGCTCATATTTTAGGGGGAAGTGGCACACTTTTTTCCCCCCCCCTACAGTGAAAGTGCAGTTGGTAATCATTTGATCATCTTGTTAAGTAAGCTGTAAGCTAAAGAAGCAAGGTCTACAGTTCAGAATTGCAACTGTCTCTGGAAAATATGGCTGAGTGTTTCTTCTCTAAAATAACAAGCTGCTCTGGAAACCCAGTAAAGAGCCTGCCTGAATAAACACCGTCTTCGTTCCTTCAGAGTCTTAAAATCCACTCACTGCCTGATACGCAGTTCTCACTTTAAAATACCGTTAACATGGCAGAGTATTTTAAGAGCATCTCGATACATGCAAAAGCCTAGCTGTAAACATTTAAATACAGCAATTCTGTAAATTCAGATTGAAATTGTTATATATAACTTATGGTGTTGCCATATTACCTGACCATTGACCCTGCAGGTAACTCACGTAGTGCTCCACCTGCACGAGGGCCCCCGCCATCTTATGGTGGAAGCAGTCGATATGACGATTACGGCAGCACACGAGATGGATATGGAAGCCGAGAAAGTTACTCAAGCAGCAGAAGTGATGTCTACTCAAGTGGCCGTGATCGTGTTGGAAGACAAGACAGGGGTCTTCCCCCATCCATGGAGAGGGGCTATCCACCTCCTCGTGATTCTTACAGTAGTTCAAGCCGCGGAGCACCCAGAGGCGGTGGCCGTGGTGGAAGCAGATCCGATAGAGGTGGAGGCAGAAGCAGATACTAAAAAAACACTCTTAAACTTTTGGACCAAGACAGATTACTTCTCAAAAAAAAAAAAAGTGGAAGCTGTACTATCTTTACTACCAGAGGACTACTAAAAGGAAAAGTTGTTTTTACCTTTTTTTATTGTTGCCTGTTAAGTTTTCCCCTCCATGACTTTTATGCTTTTGTGAGGAAAAGTTAAACCAATGTTTAGTTTCATTTCAAAATTGTTAACATTTCTTTCAAAAAGCAGATGTTAAATGTATAAAACTTGAGCTGTGTACTAGTGTTGTAATTTTCAAAGTAAAGTTTCCCTGAAATGCCACCTTCCCATCTGATTTTCCTCATGAATGGAACAAGCAGTTCTTAAGCTCTTCCACACAACATCCAGCCATCTAACATAGGAGATGGATTGTTCTACATGTTCGCCATCTCATTCTTAAAAGTATTGCTTGTGATTTGGAGGGTGGTGGGGATGTTCCACACAACGTTAAGTTGTGCCTAGAATTTGAAGTCGCAGTTTTCCCAGTACAAAATGCCTTCAGGTCCTTGTGTAAAGAAAAATGGAGGATATCGTTCACTAAATCTGAAAAAGCAAGTGGATAATACTATCTTCTGCCTTCATACATTTTCATGAGGAGTTTGAAAAGATTTCTCCTCCGAATAAAACATGTACATGTAAGTCAGCCACAGAATACTGTAAAAATAAACAAAAAATGACCGATTCCATCAAAGAAGCTGCAAACCAATGCTTACTCATACTGTTTCAAATTTTTGCAACTCTGTAGTGTTTCACTTTTAAAGGAACATCTTTGATTCCAAAGGAGAAAATAAGATAAGCAAAGAAGTCTTTCTCTCTCCAACTTCTCAAAGGCTTATGGCTTCATAAAAACAAGTGAATCTTTCAGCATTCCACAGCTGAATTAAAGCATCAAATGCCTGTGAAACAGCAAAGATGGTAAGCAAAGCAAACTAGTTTTTCAGTCTAAAGTCAAAGTTGAACCAAGTTACCTTCCTCTAGTACACTAAGACAACCTGCACGTCAGGGCAATGGAAATGCTGTCTAGATTTAAAAAAAAAAAAAAAAAAAAAAGGAAAACAAATACTCCAATACATTAGAAGTTCTCCAAATTCAACATTTTTTGGATAAAAGCGTTTTGTGGCACCAATTTTGAAGCTGAGACATAATGCAGCTCGCTGTAGACAGAATGTTGCCAAGCAGGGTTGGGAGGGGGTATTTTGTGCCCAGTATCTTCCAGTGAAGATGCTATAGAGGCTGCATGTACTATATTTTAACAAAATTAGAGCCTTGTGAAATAAGAAATTGGTTTAGATTGACAAATAATCAGCTCGGCTATTGGGAGTCTGAAGCAAGCCATTGCAAACTTGACGTTTAGTTGGATGCCTGACTCTGTTTAGTTTGATACTACGTTGCAGGAATATCTAGTACCTGTGGCAGAACCTGTGGCAAGTTGTGACTCAGGTAAAGCCATGAAGTTCAAAAGATGCTCTTGAATATAGTAGACGTGAAGACCTCCAACTAAAAAAAAACGCAAAACCAAACCACAAACCCAAAAGCTTTTTACTGCTGTTTAGTCCTCGGTAGATTTTGCTGTTCAACTTATGGATTTAACGTGGCAGTGCACCACTGAAAAGGAATGAGAATCCATAAGCCATGCGACCTGTCACTAAGCCATTCCAGTCCATTCCAAGCCAGTGAATTCTCCATCACCTAAAAGAGAAGTAGTAAAACTTGAACCAGAATAATCTGCAAACCCAAGCTTGTGACTTTTTTGTTTAAATGAGGGGAAGCGGTATAGGTTGACTCGCACTGTAAAATGTACTTCTCAGTTTGTTTTATCTTCTCTTGATTGCAGGGTGAATAACTTCTACAAGATACCCCTGAAATAATGCCGGTTCATCTGTGTTGATGGCAGAGAATAAGTGGTGCCTGTACCACTACGTAAGGTAAATACTATACTGGTGTAGTAGCTGGAAGGGAGATTTCTGGGGGTTGTGTGATTATAGATTTGGATGGGCATTCTCCATGGCTCAATATTTTCAACTTTGTGTTTTGAGGAGGAGGTTTCACTAACTTTAAGCCTACCAAATTAGGAACGGAAGTGAGAGACTTGACATCTGCAGGAATTGCTCCAATTTGGGTCCAGTTTTAAATCATGTTGTAGAGAGCATTTAGTCTAGGAATTTTTTTTGAGACCAGACCGTAAAAATCTGTATTGGAATAATAAATGTCAGTATAGACATTGAATCAGTCTTGTTAAATGTAAGGAACATGGAATTTAATTATTCTACTGAGTATAATCTTTGATTAGGAATTCATCTCTGCAGAGGTCCTTGGATTAAATTGCAGACTTCCAAGCGTCTTGAGAGTGGTTTAAAGTTTTGTAGGTCAGCCATGTTTCACGACTTCAAAGCCTAGCTTATGAAAATTATTTTCCAAGTAGATGTAGGAGCAACTGCCTTCAGACTTTGTGTCAGGAGTGAGTGTCTCTTACGTTTCCCTCCTAAGTCACCAGCAAAAAAAGAAGGTGATAGCAGATGTCTTGCTAATACAGCTTTATAGAGAACTTTTCTACTTAATGATTGTTATTTTTTAAAAAAGGAGGTGACTTGTAATGTGTGGAAAATCTTTTAGAGTGAAGGATCAGAACAAATCCCTTTTCCGAAGGAAGTGTTTATGTAAGAAACATGTATTTTTTATATAATTTTTCAAATTAATTTTCAAAGTGCTCTGTAAACCTAAGAACATATTTTGCTATTAGTTTAAAATACTATTTTGAGAACCAACTTTGAAATGGTGGAAAGAGATAGCTGTGGTCAGTGCAGTGTCGTTCATCTGACCCACGCGGTCACTGATGGAGGGAGTTTCTGCCAGTGTGAAGGACAGGTTCTGGTGCCTGCCCTGTGAGATTTGTCATCTCAGTTGGCTTACAGTTTATTTTTGTTAGAGTCTCAGCAAGAGCAACTGAATAGCTGTGCAATGCCTTTGCCAGAATATTCCAGTAATGTTTTGGAGATACTCCTGAGAAATTGTTGCTGTTACTCTGATAAAGGAGAAGAAAATGTACTTTTGTCCAAGGTTACTGGATTGTATTTCAGATCAAATACAGAAGCGTCATAATTATTTTCTATTCTGAGTCAAAGGAAGCCATAGTTAAATTAAAAGCTGCTACCAACTTTTTTATTTTTCTGTCACTTGGTAAAATGTCAGCCAACAAGAAGTGTTACTTTGCTTATCATTGCATTCCATTTAAGTGTTCAAATACTTAAATCACAAATAATGGAAAAGACAGCATTTGAACTGCAGATGTTTATTTAAAGATTAAAATAACACAAATGTTTTTTCATTCAAAAAGTCACTGATGTCACTAGTACAGCCCCAAAGTGGATTAGGGAAATATGCCTAAAGGGAAGCTCTTCTCCCTCACTTCCCCATCCACCTGCAAAAAATTTGCAGGAGTCAATTTTTTGCATTTAAAGTTTGAGGCTGATTCAGATCATGAATCGTCTGATAAAGAGATGGAATTCTGTCTTGAATATGCAGCATCCTGGGTGACTTTAAAAGGTTTTGCCAAATACTATCGTTTGTGTCAGAATGTTTTCAACTTCTTCATATGTCTGTGCTTCAATTCTCTGAATTAGCTGGGAAGCTGAAGGTTAATTACACCTCACAATGGAAAATGCTCTTCTGTTGGAAAAATTAAGTGCTTTTTTCTCAGTTCACTACATCTGTTTTGTGACTTACAGGTGATAGTGGGCCATGTTGTAATTAATAAAGACATTAAAGATAAAAGCACACTTTCTCATCCTACTCTGCAGTTTATAAGCATTTCAGAATTCTTAACAGGCATGATGCCAGTGTTGGTGTAGGGAGCAGTAAATAGAACTGAACTCATGGTCCCGGAAAGTAAGAGTTAACTTTGTGAAAAGTAAGGATGCCGTTCCATTAATTCAGCAAACTGTTCACCTTCTCTTCATCACAAGTTTTTTTTACTTCATAGCATTATGTACAGCTTTAGTACCTGTGTGTGTACCAGTTCATTACAGAACTCCTGGCTTTTGTGCTAAGATGGTCAGGAGCTGGTGGGATTTTGTGGTGGGCAGTTTGGAGGGAATTACAGAGGCTTTACTTAATACCTGCTCTGGAGACAGTGTTGTACAAGAAGTGTGTGTTACTGGAACGAGTCCTCAGATCATGTTGGTTATTGGAGTTAGCTTTTGATATATTTTCATACTGTTAGGACAAATCGAATATAATCCGAATGTGTGCGTTGTGTGTATAAACCCAATCAACTCAAAGATGATTTAACTTTTTTGGTCACTTGGTTTCTGAGAGTGTACTAACTTGAATTTCCTTTTTTCAGTTTCGGTGACTAGAAGGCAGCAGTGCAGCAGTCGATACGCCTTGGAAAATCGGAGGATAACAAAGTGCAACTGATAAAGCATGGCTTTTGAGTGTGGGTGTTACACTCCCTGTTTGGTTTGGAGAGTTGTGTTACCGTTAAGGAGTGGCCTTTGAAAGTAGCACTAATCATCTCTTGGATATAAAAACGATTGTCAGGTGCGAGTCAGTTGCCATAGCTGACATCTTCCACTAGTCAAGAGTGAGCCAGTTTTTTCAGTCATTATACACTTATCAGCAGATCGTGCAGCAGAAAAATACTTGGGGGTTGCCCTTTTACATGGGGCGCTTGCCGTTTATGCTGAAAAAAAAGAGGAAGTTATATAAAAGTGAGTTTTAGTCCTCTAAAATACAGAGGACTAAATTGTTATAAATTCTTCTTCACCAAGAAACCATGAAAAAGTTTTACTCTGTTCTTACATGAACAGTTTTTAAATTGTCTGGCCTTTTGGATGAGAGGAAGTGTTGATGTACTGAGACGATATTAGTGATAAATCTCCAGAAAAATGAGTGGTTTTGTACGTACTGCCTTCTTGCAGGACTCCAGACAGCACTACATCTCTTGCAGCAACATACTTCAAAACTTTGCCTTGGTTTTGGTGCACTTTTATCTTAACATAGATGTTGATGTGCCACTGTGTGTGAGAGGAATTGTCAGGCACCAGTATTTCATGCAGGAAGCTAACTTCCGATGGAGTGAAGTATTTAAACAGTCACGGCTAATAAAGTTTATACTGACTACTTCTGTGGTAGATACAAACTCTTGTCATTTAAACAGGTAACAGTTGATAGTGAGCAGCTAAAGAAGAAAAAGCATTCATACTTTGTTTAGGGATTTAAAACTGCCTTTGGGTTTGGAGATAAGAATGTCACGTTAAACTTCAGTTATGGACTGCAGATGGT